ATTGATTTCTTCGTTCTGTCTTTATTTGTGCTATGAAGATTAAAGGAACAGCTAATGATATTGCTGGGACTATTACAAGCTCTAGTGATGGGGCAGAAAGGCCAGTGATAGAGCAGATAGATTAGGTGCAGCACGACCATGGGTGGATTCCAGTGCTGACATGCATGTATGTGAATTAGTGATTTTTATTTCCCTCCTTTTTGTTATGTTTTGTTTTTTTTTTTTTTTGGAATATTTTCCTCCTTTTTGCTATATATATGTCCTAGTTCTTACCATGATGGTGTGAATTGCAGAACATTCAGGGCTCTAATAGAGATTCGTATAATGATTCTGTTCCTGAAAAGGGCATTGGTACATCCTATGGAGGCAATGAATATGGCTCTGATCTTTCAAGGAATTCAGGTTTGGGTATTGGAAGAGCTGGTGGCAGGACCTCTGAGTTAGCACGTGACAAAGCTTGGTACAAAGCAGGCAGCAATGCTGCAGACATGATGTCTGCCCAAAGGAATGGTTTCAGTCTCAAGCGTAGCTTATCAAATCATGAAGCACCAAAGTCCATCAACTTGGATGAACATAATCAACCAACACAAACCATGACTGGCATAAAGAGTAGTGTCTTGTCAAGTAGCTGGAAAAATTCTGAGGAAGAGGGAGTACATGTGGGATGAGGTGAATGCTGGACTGAGTGAGCATGGTGCATCCAATGCCTCTAACAACTTGAGCAAAGAGTGTTGGACTGCTGATGAAGACAATTTGGTAAGCTTGCAAATGTTAAACATTAGAATCAAAGACTTCATTCACTGGCATTGATCATTTGTCTGGTCGTAGTCTTTATTCAGGATGTTGAATTCAAATGATATACTTGAGATTTTCTTGGTTGAATGCCTTTATTGGTTTATGCCTCAGAACGTAAGAGTTGGGTTTTAGTAAATTTCAGTTACTAATGTTTGATATCGCTGTTGGAGACAAGTGATCGGTTGCCTGGACCACTGGTGCCCCATCCCTGGTGAATTTTTGCAAAATCATTTGACATATCTTTTTAGGACCTGGAAAGGCCTTTCAAAAGTCAAAATAAGAGGACTTGTTTATATGTTTGGTAGAGTTGTACATTGAAGGTCAATATTCAAATAGCCACGAGTTTTTGTTGCAGGTGTTATTATAATATGGTCATTCATTATTATGTCTTGCTTGTAGATGGAAACGTTGTTTTGAGTTCTGTGAAGTATGCGGTGGATATAGCTTGGCCCAACATTTAGCTTAACTTACACCAGTCTTGCACTCTGTCTGTAGGCTACTCCACATGCGGGGAATATCTAAAAGTAACTTATAAGCCATTAAAAACCTTTGACTATATGAAAGATGTTTCAAGAGGTTGATTTTTCCCCCTTCATCGAATGATCATGTTATTGGTATAAATTAGCAGTTATTCATGCAATACCTAGGCAAAATAGGCTAGCCTATTACTAGTTCAGATGGCTTTGGTTGGTTGAAGAGTGATGACGTATCATTTGCTCATGTGTTAATAATGGGATTTAACCAGCATCATATTTTGATGAATGACATGGATCTAGGCTTTTGCGGTTGAATAATCTTTTTTCCTCTACTCGCAGGCAGTTGGAGGTCACCTTCAAAGGACGTTGCATGAAGATAGAGATGTGTCCACCGAAATGAAACGCACCTTTGGTCATCCTTGGAAATCACAGCAGCAGCAGTCATTTGATGAGCTGAATCGTAGGCCATGTCCTTCAGAAGGCATTGGATCTGCTCTTGGAAGGTTGCCAAACATTGTGAATTCTTCTAATGTCAAAATGGGAAATCGGCCTTTCTTGTCAAATGCCACATTAGGATCAGTAGGAACAGTGCGACAACAGCAGTCTCATTCTGTAGGAGCAGAGTCTCCTTGGGAGTCACCTTTGCGACAGCAGTCTCCATCACCATCAGTCAATGTGCCCCATCCTCATGAAATGCAGATCTTGGCAGAGCAAGACCATCCACAGACTCTTAAAACGTCTCAATTTTCAGGACGTTTACGGAGCCAAGATATTCGAGATTCATCATCTGTCCTTCCACGTAATGTTCAGGCTGGTAACTCTCAGAGATCACATCAAAAAGACTTGCAAGGTCCATTGTCTTCAGTGTCTACTTTTCAGCCACGACATCATAGTGCAGCTTCACAGCCACAGGATCTTGGTTCCAATAGTGAAGTGCCTGAGATGAAGGGAAAGATGACCCACTCTAAAGAAACTTCAGAGCAGTCAACTACAAGTTCTATGTTAGCTGCAGTTATGAAGAGTGGAATTTTTACAAGTGGTCAGCATGGCATAAGTTTCTTGGATAGGAGGAACCTTCCATCAAAGTCCGGGGTTCAGCCTGCCCGGCCAAGTGGATCATCTCCTACAACATCAGTTTCTTCAGGGCCTGGGGTTGCGTCTCCATCTCGATTAGGTCCTTCTAATGATGGCCTATCTACTCTGTCAAAAGAATCTCAAGGAAAGGTTGGAGCCCCATCAAGGCTGCCTGCGCTCCCACCAGCTTCCTCTACTGTGAGTAGTGCCTCAGCCAAGACATCAAGTGCCACTAATAATAAATCTGATCCAGTTTCAAACCTTTTAAACTCATTAGTTGCAAAGGGTTTGATTTCTGCAAAAACAGATTCATCTACTGAGGTGCCAGCTGAGGTGCTGATTCGATTGGAAGATCAGAGCCAAAGCATCACCACCAGTGGCACCTTGCCAGCTGTTTCAGTTACTGGTTCTGAAACTGTTCCTGTCATATCTACCGGAGATGATCAGCCTGCAAAAGGTTCCTCCAGCCAATCAACCCCTACAGAAATAAAAAATCTAATTGGCTTTGAGTTTAAGCCCAGTGTGATCCGGGAATTGCATTTACCTGTGATCAGAGAACTATTGGATGATTTCCCTCATCATTGCAGTATTTGTGGCCTTAGGCTTAAACATCAAGAACAATTTAATAGACACTTGGAGTGGCATGCTATGAGAGAAAGAGAACAAAATGATATATTGAAGGCCTCAAGGAGATGGTATTTGAGATCAAGTGACTGGGTTGATGGCAAGGATGAAGTTTCATCTGAGTATGAGGGTATTGATTCCATAGATTTACATGGCAATAAATCAAACAGAAGTGAAGAGGATGCTATGGCTCCATCTGATGAAGATCAGTGCTTATGTATGCTGTGTGGTGAGCTATTTGAAGATGTTTATTGTCAAGAAAGGGATGAGTGGATGTTCAAAGGGGCGGTTTACCTACCTGTCTCCAGTAGTGATAGTGAGACGGATACTAACATCAGTAGTGAAAGGGGCCCCATTGTTCACACTTGGTGCTTATCAGAGAGCTCCATATCTAACGTTCTTGCAAAGGTAAGGCATATCATCTGATAGTGGTGAATAGAATGGTCATCTTTTAATTTTGATTTTGGTATGCTAAGCTCTTTATATTGGGTGGAGCAAGTCCGCCATGATTGATTGCCTCAAAAATACATTCTGGGTAGGAGCAAATATGTTTTGGTTGGAAGATGATATTGGAATTTAGAAATTAAGGTCCTATTCTCTGTTCGAACCTTGCAAATGGCTGGCCTGGTTTTGTTGTGTTATAGATTTCTTTCCTTTGCCTTTGTGGCCGCTACTTTGTTTTCTATTGCCAGCTCGCCCTCATTACATGCTTGATTTATAGAGCCTTGTATGTTCTGGCAGGAACAGGATTAGGGTTTTGTTTTAGATCATCTGAGCAATGTTGTCGTCGTCAGAAGCCTTCAAAGAGTACTCAGGTTTACCCTGCATTTACTTGATTTTCGTGGCTGTTCGGTGCTAAAATGGATTGATGATTGCCTCTAACTGGGCTTAGAGCCATCAAACAAATTTTGTGCTTTTTCTTGCTTGCTTTCTTCTCTCTCGCCCTTCTTCTTCTTCTTCTTCTTTTTTTTTTTTTGCTTTTTTTTTTTTTTGGTCTTGTAGCTCGGGGGAAAATTTCATGGTATTCAATATATAAATGGCAGAAAGTTTTTGCAGCTCAGCTTGCCCATTGACGTGGTTGTATTCCTTTATTTTACGATGGCTTAGTGGATTTGCACTTTAGCAGCATCTGGTGCTAATACAAGCCAGAGCATTTGCAGCCATACTCATCACAATTGCCAGATGGGCCTCCTCTGTATCTCCCAACAGCAACGACTGGGCTTCCTGCCTTCTCCTGTTACCCTTTTCTTATTCTGTGCGCGCTCATGCGTGTATCTCACTTCCAGTGAAAGGGGCGAGGGGGCATTGATTCTGTGCTGGGATAAAATAATAGCTGTGTTCTTATCACCTAGCCTCAACTAACTTGTGTTGATTGGATTGTGGTCCTTTATCTTACGCAGAAGAGAGATTGTCGGTTGTGAATTTGGCTGTTTGAAGTTAATTTACTTGTATATGTGTTTCGTTTTTCATTTTTTATTTTTATTCTCTTAAACAGCTATAGTGTGGGTAGAAAATTGAGCCTGCTCTCTAACGAGTGAGGGCATCCGTCTATGCCTTAATGTTGCTGCTTTTTATGAATCCTTTTACCCGTCGATTCCCTTAATCTAGTTAAGAAACCTGCATTTAGCTTAGTTTGAATCAATGTTAGAGAACCACGCAGTATAACGGTGAGAATTTAAATGCATCCGTTGGGGGAAAAAAAGGAAAAGAAACTGAGACCTCCAATTTATTATGCATTCCTATCGTTGTTACCAATTATCTTAGTCCTCGACTGTTCGAATTGGAGTTCTTTCGCATAATGGGGGAAAATGGGTAACTTGGTGAAACTGAATCATGTCTGCACTGTGCTAGCTCCTGAGAAAAAAATATATCCGGTAATAGCACCAGGGTAGGGCTCCGCTTAACCGCTCTCATCAAGTTTTATCACAAATTTGAAGCTCGGAAACAGACAGATCATAAATACGGCTTGGACATTTCATCCTCATATGATACATGGGCCCAAAAAACAAATGTAAGATATTTCGTGGCCGTATTGGGACTCGTCTCAAGTTAACAGAACTGGGAATTTTAGAGCTAAGGTTTGTGCTTATAGGCAGGCTTGTGATGCTGGGTGTAAATGTAATCCAAGTGGGCCTCCGCAATCCTCCTCCTCTCACTGCATTCTTCATCCTCCTCATCACACTGATCTGATTCCACTAGCTGCATGATGTTGCACCCAACGAGAATAAAACATGCTAAACCCAAATAAAACAATCCGAATATGATAGATAAAATTGTAGAGGTTGAAGATGGAGCATATCTTACTTCGACATCAAATTTGAGCTCGGTGGTTGAGGCGGCATTAGTGACATCGATGGCCTTCCCTTCCTTTTCATCTGTATCAAGTTCGATCTCAGAAACCAGCCGACAAAAAGAGGAAAAACAACAAACACCAAGAAATCAAATTTTGTTTCTCAGTTACCTCGACTGGGTCGAATAAGACGAGCAGATGCTGAGAAATGAAAGAGAAGCAGAAGAGAGAGAAGGAAGCAGAAGAACACACGAAGGCCTGTTTTCTTCATTATCGGCTCTTGCCAGGTTAGAGCGAGACAGAGCGGAAGTGATAGAAAGTAGCAAAGATATGAGTCTGAAAAGGAGGTGGAAGAAAGGGGTTAAATAAAGGAGCAGAGGAGACAGTCACGAGGAGGCTCTGATTGGGGGAAGGAAAAAAAAAAAAAAGGAAGTTACTAGTTCCATTGGGGCCTACTAATTTTAACGTATGCTTTGGTCAACTCAGATGAGAATACAAGCGTCCATGTGACGGGAGCAAGAACGGCATCGCTTCATGCAGAGGGAAGCGTTTCTCTGAGGAAGAAGACAGACAGAGAGAGGAGGGATTGTCACCATCATGGTGGTCCGTTAAGGTGCTACAAAACAAAGCCAATTAAAGTGGGCACTGTAGACTTAAAAAGAGTTTACACGTTTTTGCTCTCTTCCTTTTTCTTGGTACTAAAATGAAGATTCTTAAGTTTGGAAAGAAAGGAGCTCATAAATACGCACTCTATTATGCGTCTAGTGGGTGTCCAGTCATCATCGAACTTTGCATCTGTGGACTGCCCACTGATCTTCCAATTTGATGAATAGTGCTTGTTATTTTAATAATAACGTGCAATAATTAATAGGCAATGATAAAAAGATGGGAAATTTTTTCCATTGTTAAAAGCTGAAGAAAGCCAGAACAATACAAGACGTGAGAAACCGAAATTCCTAAATGTACTCGAATCACAGAAACCTGCACCTAAACAACGAGGAAGAGAGCTGGCAAGTATATGCCCGCCGTCCACACTTCATGTTTTATAGATACTCACCGTCATTTGATTATTTTAAGTTGTTATTTTTCTTTCATCTGAATGAAAGCTGCACAATCATTTTCGAGAAATTTATCTGCACATAAACTATAATTATTTCGCACAAGAGACATTTGTATGCGTTGAATACATAACTCATTAGTCAGTAACTAATATTTTCCACATATGACGTTTGGTGCACAATTAATTTACTGACCCTTAGTAAAATAATGCATGCAGTGTTGTGATTTGGTGAGCGATTCGATGCTGAGCAAACAGAACAAATTAGTAAAAGACAAAAACAAGTTAGGGATGATGAACTGGGAATGCACATTTAGCTGTTCACATCGTAATGAAACAGTGTATTCTGATCCCAGCACCAGAAAAGAAGCGTTTCACTTCACTTCAAGTAATGTGGAAGACAGTGAAATCCACATGGCCTGCCAATAATCCCATCGACAGGTCATGATATAGAATTCGAACCCCTTTTTTCTTTGGTTGTTTGAAGTACGAGGTTTAGTTAAATGTACGAACAAAATTATAAGATTATTTTATGGAAACGACATTTCAAAATATCAAGATTATGCACCTGATGGAACCATGTGTGTGGATTCGAAGCATGTTAGGTTAATGCTAACTAATTGATGTTTTGCACAGCTTTTTTTTTTTTTTTTGAACCAGCCGTTTGAATGTTGATTGAAATGCCCTAACGACACATTTGTGGGATTTGATGAATCCCTCAATCAACTTGACCCAATTCAGGAACATCAATTATTGGACTATGATTTAACGGTGTTTAAGTATCTTTCTTTTTCTCCAAAAAGAAAAAAGTTTTTTTTTCGTCTTTTGAGTGTAGTATCAAACAATAATTAAGAGCTTGTAATTCGAAAGACGTCCTCAGGTTGCAATCCATGCAATGTAAAGGGGCAAGAGAGTATGTGTGGGATATCTGTGGGAACCCTTCCCAATGTGAAAGGGTTAGATAGGGTCGTGAAAATGTGTGTGGGTGTATGATATCTCAGGCATCATGAAGTGATAAGCAAAAGCAATTAAGCCCTTTCCACAACACATCCAAAACATGTTTCACCCAAAAACCGAAAAGTTCCAAAACGACCCATTGGGTGTAACATTGGATGCTGTGGGCCAGAAACCCAAACATGATAAATAAGAATCCCAACTTGGCACCAAAAGGGGGGGATTTCAACACTAACAAGAGTTGATCCAGTTAGTAAAAAGTCATATCATAATCCACAAGGTTACAAGTTTGAATCCTGCTGTCGATATGAGGACATTGTTAGTAGGTGATCTATAAGTACCTCTGTAAGAACTCTTTGAACCTAGAGGCATGCCCTAATCCTTGTAAGCCCCTGGGACCCAAATCACCTAAACTTTTGTATATCAGAAAATAATAAAGTATATTTGAAAATATTATTAATTTGATTTTTAAACATATCAATATTTGTTTATTTCAAATAGTACTCTATTTAGAATTAGATTATAAATATTCTATAATTTATAGTTCAAGAGAAAAAATTTTATCAGTAAATATTGACATGAAAATATTGTAGTAATGTATTATGTGTTTATGAAAAAATGACAAGTTTTATTTTAGAAGAGAAAAACATAACTTGGGAAAAATTATATTCCTCCGGTTCTAAATATAAGATCATTTTTGTAGTGTAAATTACATTACAAAAAAGATCTTATATTTAATACCGGAGCAATATGATTTAAACAGGGGTGTGAAAAGAGCAACGCGTGCAGCTGTTAGATACGAATGTAGGGATACAGAACCAGAAGGGCGAAGGAAAATGACAACAGCTGAGGCCAACAAAGAAGCAGCAATGGGCAGGATTCCGTGGTCGTGACTTTTGTCTTTAAGCCATCCCTCACAAAATTCGGATCTATCTAAAATCCCAACTTTAATTTCTCCATCATATCATCCCCACCCCTTTTCTCGTGATTTAGTGATGTCGCCACTCATGATACCGCTAATAATAGTAATACCTAATTATTTTGTTGCTTGGGTCTCTGTTTAGGATTTATCTTTTTCGAAGGGGCATTCATGTTCAGGCTCTTCGGTTCCTGAAATTAGTCATTCTGGGCGGTGGGGCAGGCACGTGACCTAACCGCGGCATGCGCATGCACTCTTTCAGCTCCCCGCGCGCCTCCTCAAAGTAGAGTCAGCGATTCAAAAAGACATGCCCGCATGTGCCCATACATGGGGCGTTGGACTTTTTGAGTTTGACATCGACGGAGTTAATTAGTGATTTACACACACACACACATATACACAACGAGTCAACCACATGCTAGCTGCCCCTTCATTATATAATAATGTTGCGCTGCCTTTTCACACTAACCTTTGGATTCACTCACTTTGAATCCGTAAAACCCTTCACCTGTGTCTCACAATTCATTTGTCCCGGTCCCTTCAATATTAGCACCCCCCCCCTCTCTCTTATTATGCTGCTTAGCTTCCAATAATGGCTGGTCAATCGTCAAACTTTTCGTCCTGTAACGGCAAGTTGGAACGGGCGACATCCATTCTGTTAGTGAAGAAAGGCGCAAAGTTCCTCCTCCCATCAAAGGTTTTCAATTCTTTCTAATATACTCCTCCGATCCTTATTATAAGACCCAATTTGACTTTTTATTTGGTCCTAATTATAAGACCCAATCCATTTTCTCTCTTATATTTATGTATTTTTTTCCAAGATAATCCTTCTAATAATGATAGTTTTAGCCAATATACTTAATTAGCAAGGATATTTTAGGAATAACAACACTTATTTATTATAAATAACTAACTTAACTTACTTCCTTAATCTTCTCAAATAAGTCAATTGGGTCTTATAATTAGAACCGGAGGAGTAATAAAAATTTTAGCTTTGTCCTGAACATAGTAAGAAAATTAACGAGGGACGCTAAGGCTAGTGGCTGGTAATCACTGACTAGTAGGAATATTTTGTTAAAAATGTCACGAATTCTCTCCATACAGACTACAAATGATTATTTTAAATATTTTGCTATGTTACGAGTTAATTTAAAATCACCTTATATTAGAAATGGGAATGAGTATTCTGGAGCATGTTATCAGTACGTAGCCTTGAGATTATAAATTTAAGATATCAGCACGTCCCAAAATCTTGACTTTTTGTCGGGGTGTTGTCTGGCTCCATTCTCCGTGAATTTAAAGACAGCAAGTCTGTAGGTATCTACTGAACCAAACCCCAACAGCACCGATGCCCCAAAAGGAGGGGAGGGAGGCGACATGAGATCTGCAAGTAGTTCCCTCCCTGTCCTGTTGCCCGAGTTAGTTCATCTATATGATACATACACGGTCAACCTCCCAGCACCCACTGATCCATTCATTTCCCGCCTAATTTTTTTAACTACCCACTAGTGAAATTCATTCACCTCCACTATAAACAATTGATATACCATGTGAACACATCTTGAAAGCCACCCGGTCGATGTGATATATACACTCCCACATTTTAATATTATATGCTCCCACCCAGTTGATTTGTACAAGATCTTATTTTATTGTTTTCAAATCCTAGTCACACCTAAGATCATTCAATATATAAATCACAATTAAGTGGACATCATCGGGGATACTTCTATTTATTTTTTCTTTCCATCTACTTAATTAAATTTGACTAGCTTAATTAGATTTTAGAAAATAATAACAGCTCACAGTCGACCTTAAAACCAAAAAGGATGGCCCGTGATCCCCATGCTTCTCCTTTCAATTATATTGATCAAACCAATTCTCGAAGATCTTTAATTGAGATTATGGGCATTCCCGCTTATAATTTGGCCACAGACTAACAACTGAGTGGAGGAATGATTATGATATTCTGTACCTGTCTCTTGCCAACCACTGGCTTTGCGTTATAAATCTCCCTAACACCACTCTCAACTTGCTTCACATCTATCTTGTCCACCAGCATGGTTCCGATTCGGCTCCCGTTCGCACCGATTATTTTGCTTCTTGTTATCTTGTCGGACACAGCGTGCCCGTGTCTTGCTGTCGCTTCCGACCAAGAGCTTCTGAAAGGCTTCTCTGCAACTCCACTCTCTTCAGTGACTTCCTTTCAACCTATTCTCAGCGATCAGTTCGGCAACTTCTCCCTGGGTTTCCTCCGTCTGAACCGTACCCAGCTTGCCCTCGCCGTCCTTCACATCGCTTCCTCCGAGCCTCTCTGGTTCGCCAACCCCACCCACCTGGCTTCGTGGTCCCAATCCACTCGGCTCTTCTTCAATGGTAGCCTGGTCATTTCGGATCCCGTAACAGACTTTTTGTGGTCAACTGCCACAAACGGTGACCGCGTGGTGCTTCTCAACACTTCCAACCTGCAAGTACAGAAGAACGGGGAGTCCGGCTCTGTTATCTGGCAGAGTTTTGACTTTCCCACTAATACCATCGTTCAGGATCAAAATTTCACGGCTCGCATGGCTTTGGTGTCGTCGAACGGGCTATATTCTCTGCGGATGGGAGACGACTTCATGGGTCTATATGCCAGGCACAGAGGAGGATCTGACGAGTTATATTGGAAGCACAATCCTTTGGAAGCTAAGGCCGAAATAGTGGAAGGCAAGGGACCCATTTACGCCCGAATCAGCTCCGACGGCTATCTGGGCATGTACCAAACAGGGACCAAACCGGTGGACGTGCAGAAGTTCAACAACTTTCAACGCCCGAACCCTCTGTTTCTGATGCTGCGCATAGAACCGGACGGGAATTTGAAGGGTTATTGCTGGGACGGATCAACATGGGTATTAAACTACCAGGCCATAGAAGAGATATGCGAACTGCCGAATCCCTGCGGTCCCTACGGTCTGTGCACACCGGGCGCGTCGGGATGCTCCTGTCTGGATAACCGGACGAGCTATTCACCGGGCGGGTGCATGAAGGAAGGGTATGGAGACTTATGCGGGGCAGGGATAGGAGAAGATAAGTACTGGGTTCTGAGGAGGAAAGGGGTGGAGCCGGCCCACAAAGAGCTAATGAGGTACGAGAGGGCGACGTCGGAAGAGGAGTGCGAGGACATGTGCAAGAAGGATTGCAGGTGCTGGGGAGCTCTGTACTACAACGTAACCGGGTACTGCTATGTGTCGGAGCATCCGATTCAGACAATGGTGGGCACAGGGGCGGAGTCCAAAGTGGGTTATTTTAAGGTCAGGAAAGATGCGGGGGATCAAAGGAAGCGAGTAGGGACGGTAGTGGGAATAGTGGCCGGGGTAGTGATTGTGGCGGGGCTGATCGGGGCGGTCAGCTGTGTGATGAGGAGGAAGAGGAGAAGGGGAGGAAAAGGGATGGCGGAGGAGGAGGATCGGGTAATATCCGGCCCGTATAAGAATCTGGAATCCGCAAGTTTTAGGTCGATCGAGATGAGCACCAGCCATTGACCTTTGACCCCCAGAAAAGGGAGAGAAAAAGAAAGATTAAAAAAATATAAATAGAGACAGAGGAGCAGGAGGAGCAGGCAATAATGGGAGTTAAGATGACGGAAGGGGTGACGCAAGCGGAGGGAGGAATTTTAAGTTGAGGGAGCTGAATTATTAATATATGGATGTTGTGTTTGTGGGGCTGGGTGGGACGTGCGCGACTGAATTCAACGGAGCAGTGGGGGATTGGTGACAGAGAGAAGCCAGAAGAAGGAGGCCTGCTCACGGTCACTGGGAATTCGTCAGATCCGAGTGGCTTCAGCTCCCATGGTGTTTTCGCCACTTCTCCATCCTTGCCTCAACCTTCCACCACACAACTTTGACTTGTTATGAGCTCTCCTCACTCAGTCACATGCATCCCCTTATTCCACTAACTACCCTCCCATAATTTTGTTCACCTCCACATTCTGACTGCATTTGTTCCCTTTTTTTCTATGTTTGTTATGATATTTGCCCGGCTTCAAAACAACCCAATCCTATATCAAGTGGCATTCAGTTTCGATCAATATATTACCATAATGTGTGTACGTCACCATTACAACTGATAACCTGTTTTAAAGCTAATAGAGCAACGTTCGTTGCTGTTCCATTAGCGCACACATATATTCAGCCTATATTCACAAGTCACGGCTTGGTTATCTGTTCAGAGTCACCTCATCAATGTCGGGTCATATAATTAGACCATGGACATACCTATATGATTCATAACTCTCTTCTTCATATATCACGTATATTATACATGTATATGTATATATTGTTTTGCAACGCTGTATCAATATTTTTTTTTTTTATGGTCACATGTATCTTTTTAATGAAAACAATCATATTTAAGACTCTATCGGATATTAAATGTAAAATTTGATATAAATAATTTTTTTGTTTAGCCATCAACAATGTGTTTATGGTCAACTCTTTCGGCCCAAATTCCTTTGGTCAATTTTAAAATTCAATAAACAATGAGAATCGGGCTATTTAAAGTTGGGCCCTACCTATGTATCTCGTAATGGGTTAACGTGGCCTGGTCAGGGGATCCAAGGGCCCTGGTTTTGTCTAATCCTATCGAGAGCACCAAAAGTGAAAACGTAAAAGGTCATGAACAACTAACAAGGGTCAGTCTAGTTAGTAAAGAGTCGGCTCATAACTTATATCTAAACTTTTTTGTATTAAAAAAAAAAAGGTCATGAACAGTGGGAAACACGGTAGCACCCGCATAGACACCCATATAAATTACATTCTTTCATATTGATGATCAAAATGGTGCTTATTTTAACAAAGTAATGATCTTCGGCCAAAAAAAAAAGGTAATGATCGAAATTTGAATAACGGATAAATTAACGTGGTTATTTGTATAATTTTTTTTTTAAAAAAAAAGGAAGGCTTTATTCCGTTCTAAATAACGAAAAATAATTTATAATTGAAATTTTATTGTTGTTTTTATCAAACATTAATATATTAGTAACTTTAAACAAAGAAGCATTAAAAAATAAATTTGAATCATCTAACTCAAATTCAAATTGATTTTGTTAAAAAAAAAAAAAAGGACAGCATATGGATATGGAGTTGTTTTAAGATGTACACCAAGTTTTTAATAATACGACCCGAATACTATAATACACATGAAGTTTAAGGGCGGGTTGAAGACCATATTTGAGGCGGTTCTGAGCGTGGTTTGCCCAGTTTATCATGTCAAAGTTGTGCTGGAATGAATTGTGGTTCAGGTATTCTATCATTTGAAGCAACATAAAAACCCACACCTCCTGTAACGAATAAATGCCGCGTCCGCTGCTTCCTCTTTAACTGCTGCAAGCTACCGTTATCATAAGAAACGAATATTCCTTTTCATTTCCCTCTTTTGCCGCCCCATAGTCTATAAAGTACTCTATTTTTATCTGCTGGTGATTAATTAGCCTGTTGAATCGTGGCATATAAGTTGAAAAAGACGCCTAACAAGGATCAGAAAGAAAGCCTTTGGTTCTTTTATTAAACTAACTAGAAATTTCTTCCCAATACACAAGTAACGCGTAACTATATATGATTAGATTTGAAATAAGTAAAATATCTTTATAAGATATATTACATATTTAATTTAACTAGGATATGTTATTCTGTGTGTATTTTTCGTCACTTCTTATTGAAACAATTAAGATATGTTTTTCTTACAAATTCATATTTTTTTGTGTCTTTTTAAAAATATAATCTTTCTTTTATAAAATAAAATAATAGAAAAGTAAGGCATATATATATGGATTGTATTCATGACCCCTCTTATTCAAGAAATTCTCATTTCTCTCCACCCCAAAATATCCTTCTTTTGCTGTGTATAAAATAAAATAATAAAAATAAGGCACATATATGTGGAGAGAGAGCATATAGGCATACAAATTTAGGTTATTCAGCCATAAAAATATTAGATCTATATAAAGTTGAATTGATTGAATTATTATTAATAACCCACTATAATTACATGAGAAACTGATGCAGGAAACAAAAGAACCCATGAAGCTGAAATAAATTTAGATAAAAAACAAAATATGAATCTATAACTCAACCCATTTTAAACATTAGCGGGTATTACAAGATTTCATAAGTACTACTTCCGGTTCTTAATATAAGATCTTGTTTAGCTTTTATTTTGGTATTAAATATAAGATGTCAATCCACTTTGTCTCTCATATTTACGTATTTTTTTTCAAGATAGTCCTTGTAATAATGATAGTTGTAACCAACACACTTGATCAGTAAGAATATTTTAGGAAAGACAATATCTATTTACTCCTCCGGTCCTTATTATAAGACCCAATTTGACTTTTTATTTGGTCCTAATTATAAGACCCAATCCATTTTCTCTCTTATATTTATACATTTTTTTCCAAGATAATCTTTCTAATAATGATAGTTTTAGCCAATATACTTAATTAGCAAGGATATTTTAGGAATAACAACACTTATTTATTATAAATAACCAACTTAACTTACTTCCTTAATCTCCTCAAATAAGTCAATTGGGTCTTATAATTAGGACCGGAGGAGTATTACAAATAACTAACTTAACTTATTTTTTTAATCTCCTCAAATTAATTAACTAATTCTTATATTTAGGAGCGGAGATAGTATATTAGATAGATTAGATAGATAGATAATCAATTTCTATGAGTTCAACGGATGCCTTTGCCTTGGTTACATGACATTGGCTCTATTATTACTTTTTCTGATGCATCGCCATATTCATCCATCAAAGACATAAATTCTGAGACATCGGCCTCCGCTTGTACTGTTCTTTTTCTTCTGTGCGGTGCTGGGTATCATGTGCATGTACAGTGGTGCGATAAGGGTTATGAATAAATGCAGATAGGAGGAATTGGGTAAGGATCAGTAATTTAGAACGTGGCAAGTGGTTTTTTGAATCATTTGTTGCTGCTTCTTGGTTACCTCAGCAGACATTTATGATCGCATTTGCGTTTTGATGAATTGCATGTGTGAACGATTCGTTTTGACCCAGCGAAAGTGATCACACGATGGCCACAAAGCTCGGTGTCCTCCTATCATACCGATCAACCACCTTCCGTGTGTGGAAGCCCCCATTAAATGCTCATAAAGTTAACGAGCATCATGCTTCCACTTGTAATGATAATTGTGAGGAACAGGGGGGAGTGAAGCCGAAAAGGCAGAGAGCACAAATTAGAAATCAAGATTAGAAGAGTTTACAAGTCATTCAATCTCAAAACATTATTTATCACTCAGACATTCATGTTTATAACCATGAGTATTTCGCTGTTAATCATCACTAGGAATTAAAAATTTGTGAATTTAGTTTTTAGTCATATTTCTCACGCAGTAATTTTTATATTACACTGCTTCTTGTGCGGCTGGTGTGAGTCAACTTACAAGAAGTGGTCGACTGCTCTTTGTTAAACACCCCTATTATCCACACAACTTGAGGGGGAAAAATACCCCGTATATCAAGGGGACAACTCAATTTAATTCATATGAAAACAAAATCAATTTTCAATTGCATCTCCGTGCACGCTGACGGAGAATTTTGAAGCTTTTTAAAAGCATGGTAATGTCGGATAAGATCAGAAGATCAGCTGATGAATGTTAATAAATGCGTTCATTCTCTAATTTAGTTTCTTGCCGCTCATCAGCTTCAAACCTTCTATCATCGAAATCTATAAATAAATGCTATTGCACAATAACGCTTTTTTTTTTTGTGAGAATAAATAAAGTCGTTCATTAGCCTCTCTCAATAGAGTCCGACCTTTGAACTCCCACTCCCTATTTAGGAAGTAGGATTTGTGCTTCCTACGTAATTCAGTTCCATAATATCACTTTTAAAAGCCTTGTGAATCGCAGGATACGAAAGGTGGGGATGGCCATTCCTGTTTCATTTCTGTCTATTGTACCCGAGGGAAAGGATCTGCTTTTGTCCCTTCATACCTTTGCAATGACTCGTGGATGAACAAAAAGGATGGGGACCGAGCTAACTTGAATGGAATAATATTTGGATATAAAAGGTTTGTTACTGTCAAAGAAACAATAATAAGACAAGGATTAATATTGGCAAGTGAAACCTCAATCATAGTCGTCTTTGGTCGAACGAGGTAAATTTGAAGGATGACATTACATGGCGGGACCAACAACATCACTCTCATCTTTTCACCATGGCCAATTCACCATCACCATCGTTATCCTGATCAAATGTCTGTCCCTGTCATCCCAATTCACATGTCACCCGGGTATCTATCAGGTTTAACCCTCCCTCCCCAATCTTCACGGTTCACACTAGTATACCAGAGCTTGCTGGTTACACGAACCCATTAATTAACATGATCAGTTTCCATAAAATATTCATTCGCTGTTATTAGTATTTTGAAAACTATAGTTAATGGTTAATCCAGACAAGTAACTGACAATTTTTATTTTTTAAAATAACACGACTTACTTAGATGATGAGATGGATGGATGGTGACCTAATTAGATTTGTGTGGGTGCGTGAACTGGCGAGGAAGGTCGGGGAGTTTCGGTTTCGTCAAGTATTTGAATTATCATAAATGGATGGTTAAATTGTATTTTATTGGAGCGACACGGATTTTCGGTTTCTTCCTTTTTATTTTTTTGTCTCTGGCTTCTGTTTCTCTTAAGCGGTACGCTGCAGAACAGAAAGGACATTCCCACATGGAAAATCTCCGAAGGAAGAAGGGCCCTGCTCTTTTTGTCATCTTCCATTAGTCCCTTCTCTCTCCCTCCTCCTCAAGAGTAACCCATTCTCCTACCTTTTTCCTCTGCTTTCAACTTCGATCCTGGGAAAGGAGATCGTATTTTACAATGAGAAGCATAACATCTTGTTACAACGAACACGCCGTTCGAATATCGGACTCATACTGTTCGGGGCCTTCAAACCAGGCCTACCTCTGTCCAAAACAGAGTCCTTCTGCTCGAGACTCAATCACCTGCACATACAGAGTCGACCTCTCCCAGCAAAAACAGCTTCTGATCACGCTTAATTGGACCAAGAAACTCATGGGGCAAGGCTTTTGCATAGCCATCAGCAACACCAACCCCACCTCGAGCGCCAATTCTCGGCAGCTGGTAAATAGCAAAGGCAACGAAACGTTCCAAATCCACGACTTCAAAATCCAGGTCCTGTGGGATCTCTCGGATGCTAAGTACGACTCAGGGCCAGAGCCAGCGAGTGGGTTCTACGTCATCGTTCTGGTGGACTCGGATCTGGGCCTGCGTCTCGGAGACAAGGAAGAGGAATCGTCGGGAGAAGTGGAAGCCAAGACGGGGGGGTCGAACAGTTCAATGGTTTATCGGAGAGAGCGTTTTTCTGGGAGTCACATTTATTCGACAAAAGCACAGTTCTGCGAAACAGGGGACGTCCACGAGATATTAATAAAGTGGGTGGTGGAGGAAGAAGGGTCCAAGACGAAGGGTCATGTACTGTGTGTGAGTATAGACAAGAAGACAATATTGGAAGTGAAGAGGTTGAGGTGGAATTTCAGAGGGAACCAGGTGATGTTCTTGGACGGGGTGCTGGTGGACATGATGTGGGACGTTCATGATTGGCTGTTCAAACCCAGCAAGAGGAGTGCTGTGTTTATGTTCAGGACAAGAAGTGGCATGGATAGCAGGCTATGGTTGGAGGAGAAGACTCTGGGGGCACACAAGGATGCACACAGAATTGGCTTCTCTCTGCTCTTATGTGCCTGTAACAATCCTGACTGAACAATCATCACACCACCCCTTCAATCCTCTTGTTCTTTTTTTTATAGTTCTTGTCCTTTTGGCTCTTCTTCTTTTATTTACTTGGCTGGCTTTGAAGAAGTGAAAATTACCTCCTCCTCCTTCTTGGCGTTCTCTTTTTTGTTTTAATACGTATTTTTTAAATATATTGTTGATGATATAGCTTTTGTGGTTGTCCTATGCTGTTCAGTTCAAATTTAAAGAATCGATAGGTTAGTTGAGGATCATGGGATTCATGGCCCTGCGCACTTGCTACATTAGGCTGCAAGACTTCTCGCTTTTACATTGCTTATGTGATATAGGTTCAAACCACACACCTTACGCCAATACACTCTCTCTCTCCATACTATACCACTCTGTTTCATTTTAACTTCTGGGCCTTCTCTCGTAATGTACTCTCTCTCTCCGCGCGCGCGCGCGCCCACACAAACACATGATACCTTTCTGGTTTGACTCCTGGGCCTTTTCTTGTGCTGTTGTGAAATCCACGAACTTCATTTACAATTGCTGCAATGTTCTCTGCTCGGCAGCTCTGTTAATTCATTCAGTTTCGGAACATATATGTCGCTGTAGCTGCGTTACTTTAGAAGTTTGTCCTCTCAGTTTAATCTGCCCACTTCTTTCCCAAAATCAAATCGTCTGAACTTAAAAGTCATATGGAACTCCAACCAGTATAGTCGAGCCAACTAAAGTCACCAAAACCCCGAAATTTTTTAGCCCAACCACCTATTTATGATTCCGACTCAAAACTACAAGTTAAATAATTACAGCTCTCTTTTATCCCTTTTTTTTTTTTTTTTACACCATGCACAGCTCTCTTTTATCCGAGCTAAGCTCAGATGATCTTTTTCTTTTTACTTCCGGTGGTTAGATTTCGCAAAGTTTTGCTCTTAACTTGAAGTCAATTTTACAAAAATTCGAACCCACCAAAATGTCCATGTTCCTGCCGACTCGTAAAAGGATGTCTTTTGATGTTGGCCATTGGCCACCCTTCTGGTCTCCCCACCCCACAAACAAATTTTTGGCTTAGTAATCTAGGGAGTCAATGCAACATTACTTAATCAAAGTAATGTTTTTTTCTTTTTTTCACGCATAAGTATTTCCCTGCTAAGCAGTCCTTTTTCGTCAAACTCAATCCTAATTGGTTTGTTGCTTATTAATTAGTCATTAGAGTAATTTCTTACAATTGGACCTCTTCCTGGGCTTTTAAGTGGAGCCCAATCCTACATCAGCAAGGGGTGACCCAGTTGACTTTGCCCTTTTTCTAAATGGCTGTACCCAAAACTAAAAGTCCATTAAAAACTAATAAGATCCTTTCCCATTTAATTCTTTATAAAAAATTTCTCACTTTTTATCAGGCATATAATTTTCCCTTTCATTGGGCTGGCTCATCATCCCTGCCAAAACAAAATTCACGAACAATATATTATTTTTAAAATATTGTTCGTAATTGGAAAAAACACAATAACTCTACAATATCGTTTACTTTAAATTAACCATTAATATAAAGTATAAAAGTTGGAAAAAAATATTAAAAATATTAAAAAAAACCAACTCAAAATTCTGGCAAAAACCAAAAAAAAAAAGAAGAAGAAGAAGAAGAAGAAGGAACCAACTCAAAATAGCGTTGAGGTTGAATGACAAGGGTAATCCTGCTAGGTTCTTCTAAAGAATTATATGATAGGCGCAATTTGAAAAATAATTTTACTAAACTATTGTAAGAATATAAAAACTAAAAACAATCAGTTTTCACCCAGCTCATCGTTCGGTTGGGAGACATAAAAGGAGTGGGCTCAACCAAGACAGGGGATTAGATTCGGGCATGTTCTGGGCTCTACCAGGAGGATGGAAGTTTTTTTCTTTTTGCCAGAAGAAGAATTCTTTCATTCAAAGTAAACAAGATTACAATCACCAATCAAAAAGAAACCAGCCAACAAGGACACCAAACTTCAATCCCAAAACTGCAAATAAAATCACTAAAATACTAGAAGACGAGAAAACACACCAAAATAAATTCACACATCTCCTTAAGAATAAGACTGTATGGTTCTGCCCTGTAATCCATGATAAAGGGGCAAATGGGTGGTTGTCCTGTGACTTGTTCAAAATTGAGCCCAACCTTCTATGAACCAATGCTGCATATTCATTAGCAGCTTTAAGAGTCCCTCTCAAATGGAGAGGGAAAGAAGAACATTGAAAGTTATAGACAACCTTCAGGTTAACATGGACTTTACTAGGGCTATAACAACACATTCTTATCCATAAGGAGAGGTTTATTACAAAAGCCAAAACATAAATCCTGTTGATTAGCAATTGTTGCAAAAGTATCAAGATAGCAGAGGAATCCTCTCCTCCTGATAGAACCCATCTTAAATCCTCTTTCATCCTCTGGACAGTCATTGTGTAGGTTTCAAACAGCCTTCCATCCCAAATAAAGCAAGCCAATATTAAAATTGCAGCAAGTTCAAGCTCAAGAAATCCACCATCAAAGTCAAACCAGAGACTCTATTATACCACCTATAATCCGCCACTTCAATGCAATAAAACCAGCACAAATATTCGATCAATCTCGCAAAAATAATCTCCAAGAAATCATACCATGTTGACTCTAAGGATTGGTTAAACATAGCATAACTCCGTATCTGATTGCTCATATCCTCCTCCAAAGTCCACTGCCCTTGGTGACTGGCATTTGTGAAATCCAAAAATTGAAAATCGAACATAGGACCAAGGTTCAGCAACCATACGGTCAGGGAGTTTTCCTTTAGGATCCATTCTGATTGCTCATCTACTACAGGACCAAGAGGATGGAGGTTGGTTTCAAGAAAAAATTATGAAATTACCTTGCATTTAGTTGAAAATAATACTAGTATAATTTTTCATATAATTCACACTCAATTTATTTTAATATAATTTTCGTTTTACGTGGTTTTTCAGGAAGATTAAAATAATTATTAAATAATTTTTATTATAATAAACTAAAAAATCCGATGATATTTCACTAAAAATACTCCTGTCTTGAACACAATCTTTGAGATTGATAAACGGTAAAGTAGTAAAGCGAAAATAATTAATGCTTTCACGAAATTATAAAAGCCACAGATACTTTCAAAATTCGCAGAAATTTCAAAGTGAGATATTTTAAACGGATGAAGGATGACGCGTCTATGGATACTCCATGGGAGAAGCATAATACCATCAAACAAATAGAAATATGAAAGTTTTATTTTTGAGGTTAATTATGAACATCCACGTGACATTCCTCCCGTTTAATTTAACAGCAAAAAGAGGATTTGACTTGGAACTGAGTTCACAATTTAACGTAAAATGGAACGAAAAACCCAAACCTGGAAACCTAACCCACCGGAATAGCTATCCACGTTCCTCTCATCTCCCGTTTTATTTTACCACGTCCATCCACACCTTCCTCTCTCTTTTTGCATCTCTTTTCCTGAAATTAGAATCCCTCTTCCTAATTATGACGTCTACTTCCCTTTTTTTTTCTTAATATATCATATTTTGCTCTTTGACCCTTTCCAACGGCGTGCATCTGCGCCCCATGTTTTCATCATCCACCGTCATTCCTTATTTTTATTCATGCATTTTAAATTAATGACATCATCAATCGTTAAATTTTATATCCATAATCAATACGCCGTTAAGCTTTTTTTTTTTTTTGCTTGATGCAACCGTTAAACTTATATTACTAGTCTATTTCTAATCGACATGGATTTTAATTTAATTGTTTTTTGAATAATGAAGCCCAATGCGGCAAAACAAGAGGTGTAAAAAAGGACTAAAATACATGAGGAATTGACATCGAACGTAACCACTCGCTTTCCCCGCGCGCCCCTTGCCTCGCCAACATAAATTAAATCCCTCTGCCTGCTGCTGCACGTCATTCCAACGGCTTCTCCCTCAAATTTCTCCCCTCTTACAGAACAAGTCGTTTTCTCCACTCCGTGATCTCTCTTCACAATCCGCCATGTCTTGCTTCAAGAGCAAATACCAGGGTATGAGATTAATACGATTCCTTCATTTCATGTCTTCCTTTCATTGTTATAGGATCGATGCCTTTGTCATGTTGTTTACATCTTTCTGTACCTGTCCTGCATCGCGTTCTAATCTGCAGACTGCTTGTGCAAATTGCAGATGAGCTCATCGCAAATGCGGCTTACATTGGCACCCCAGGAAAGGGGATTCTGGCTGCCGATGAGTCCACCGGCACAATTGGGAAGCGTTTGGCCAGCATCAATGTTGAGAATGTCGAATCCAACAGGCGCGCTCTTCGTGAACTCCTCTTCACCGCCCCTGGTGTACTCGAGTGCCTCAGCGGTGTCATCTTGTTCGAGGAAACCCTCTACCAAAAGACAGCCTCAGGTATGTGCTTGCCGTATCTTTATATATGTTATTGGGGGTTTGGGAGATCCTCTTGGTAAACATTCTTAATTGATTCGTGCAGGAAAACCTTTCGTCGATGTGCTGAAGGAAGGAGGCGTCCTTCCTGGCATCAAGGTGGACAAAGGCACTGTTGAACTTGCAGGTACTAATGGTGAAACAACCACTCAGGGTCTGGATGACATGGGTCAGCGCTGCAAAAAGTACTACGAAGCCGGTGCTCGCTTTGCCAAATGGCGCGCCGTCCTCAAAATTGGCCCCAACGAGCCCTCTCCGCTGGCCATCCATGAAAATGCCTATGGCTTGGCACGCTATGCGGTCATATGCCAGGAGAACGGTCTGGTCCCCATTGTAGAGCCCGAGATCCTTGTGGATGGACCCCATGACATCCACAAGTGTGCTGATGTCACCGAGCGCGTCCTCGCTGCTTGCTACAAGGCCTTGAATGATCATCATGTGCTGCTCGAAGGCACCCTGTTGAAGCCAAACATGGTGACCCCCGGATCGGATTCCCCAAGGGTTGCCCCTGAGGTGATTGCTGAGCACACTGTTAGAGCTTTGCTGCGAACTGTTCCTGCTGCCGTCCCCGCCGTGGTTTTCTTGTCCGGCGGGCAGAGTGAGGAGGAGGCCACCGTCAACCTCAATGCCATGAACAAGCTCAAGGGGAAGAAGCCGTGGTCTCTGTCGTTCTCTTACGGAAGGGCGCTTCAGCAGAGCACTATCAAGGCATGGGCTGGCAAAGAGGAGAACGTTTCCAAGGCCCAGGCTGCTTTGTTGGTGAGGT